ATAGGGAAAGAAGAAGACAACATGGTTGGGGGCTTGTGTGTAGTATTCTTCAAGCCCCTATTTCAATACTCTCATGTGTTTCTCACCCTCAGGTTAATGGCTCTGATATTTGGGTAACTGGGGAATTCTCACAGGTTTCTGAAATGAACCATCTCATGGTAAGTGACAGCATGAGATATGCAATTTTGATGTAGGAAATGTGAATAACAATTGTTGCTTCTTGGTTTCTAAGGACAACATCATATAGCTCCCTCTCTTGTCCTCATTTTTTTTCTTCTCGATCTTTTCTGTTTAAAGTTTGGATCATATGTAATACACTAGGTGATTGAATGGATCAGCCAAAGTTATTACCTACTTTTTTGTATTCCCCCATTTTTCCTTTGTTAATAATCAGGTGTATATATGTCTAGAATGGAGATGTAATCATATAAATATTGATGAAGCCATATATGGTAAAATTCCGACCAAGAAAAATATTTTTGTTACCATTAAAACATATGAAGAGGTTCACGTAGAATCACTAAGACCGATTTATTGTTGGATAATTAATACCAGATTTTAAGTTTGAAATTTGTTATCATGATTCTAATTAGGTTCATGTAGTCAGATAAAGAGAAAGTATTGAAACTTGAAAGAGTTTGGCTTTAAGCAGTTGATGCTTTTTTCCTTTTTGGTCATGACTAAATGTTGATATAAAAAGCACAAACCACTTTGGGATGGCTGATTTCTGTTTTACTCTATAGTTAATTTGGCCACAGTTCTTTGCTGTTAAAGTTAAACTTCTAATATCTTCTAACTAGTGTAGAGGCTCATGTATAAGTTTAGCATAACAAGTAGATAAGGGTTTCCTTATTGTATTTGCAGACTCACTCGGTTTCTCTTTCATCTCATTTTCCTTTTAATCTTTTCTTTATTTTTCAATCACATCTATGAATTTCTTTCTCTCTTTTTTTTTTTTTTAATATATTTTTCATTCTATTTCTCTCTTCATTCGGTTCTTACGCTTCAAAGGAGTGCATTAACTTTTTTCGTAAGATAATTTTGAAAAGTGGGATTGTTTGTGTTGTCTGGTATAATGATGTCAGGTTGGGGAGAAGACTCACGGGATGCCTTAGAGGAAAAGAATATAAAAAGTAATTACTTTTGTTTTCACTTTAATTACCTAGTGCCACTATGTAAATTAAGAATAAGTGGAATTAAAAGTTCCTATCTTTTGTTGTCATTTAGGATTTAACTTTAATAAGATGTTTGTTTGGATAATTTTTTATAAATATTTAATATGGGAATTGAACTTAGTATAAAAAAAATTGCAACACTCTTACATCAAATTTAACCAACTGAATTAAAATCTCATTAGTTTTTAATTAATCATGTGAACTGATTGACAAATAAGGATAAAAAAGAACTAAGAGTTATAATTGATTTAGGGGAGAAAATATAATTGCAGTAATAAAATATTGTGGTTTTTATTAAGGTGGGCGGCGCAATATATATACATAGAATAATTGGTGATCCATTTAATGTAGGGGTACCCACAGAATGCTTGCCATATTCAAAATATTGCAATTATTTAATTTATTGATGTCAAAGTGGTGGTGAATTTGGACATTTGCTGCTCGTGAAAGTTAATAAGGGAATATCTAAATTTAGTACTTTTCACTGTCAACTTAGATTATCTATAGATTTAGGTTTCCCCATTCTTGGAAGATTTTGGATTAGTGATTACACTTATCCTAAGTTATCGATTTAAGGAAACCTTTGATCTTAAGGCTTACCAAATGATTGTTTCTAAAATATGGGAATATAATTTAGAAGCAAAGCCTAAGAGCACTCGTTCATGACAAGTTTATTAGAAAGGGCGGTTATGAGTTTCGTAAACATATCTATAGAAGGTTTAATGGTAAAGCACGATAAAATTTACTAATAAAAAATTATTGTTAATATAATTTTTAAATACTTATTATAAAAATTCAACATACATATGGTTTAAATAAGATTATTTTAAGAAAATTCTTGGTAAAGTTATTTAATTTAACAATTTATGGTGTATATTAAATTTTATTGATCTAACTATTAAATTAAAAAATTTAATGTATAAATTAAATTTACAAAATTTTAAAAATATTTAATATTATTTGATACTTCATTTTATTAATTCAAATTGATGAATAATCATAAACAAATATTTTATAAATTAATTTGAATCTATATAACAAAATATTATGATTTTTAAATTTTTTAAAATTTGTAAACTTAAATTATATATTAAAATTTTTTAATTCAACGGTTGAATCATTAAAATTTAACTTATATCATTAGTTATCATGGAGTAATTTTATCAAGAATTATTCTTGAAGTAATTTGATATCTCTTTATATGTACATACATACACATACATACATACATACATATATATATATATATATATATAAAGTATATCTACCAAATAGTTTGATATTTCCATGGCGTTACACACCCTCTCCTCTATCCTAAGCAAATCATTATGTTTCAATGCCTACAAAATTCTCAACACAACACCTTAACATACATCATCTGTATATTGTTAAATCAAAAGATGATCCCCTAAACTCAAAGTTTTAATGCTAACAAGTAAAGCATTTTTATATAGAAGAAATATCTGCAAAAATGTCTTTGAAACATATCTTTGAAAATCGTCTATAAGACAATTATTAATCAGACGAAACATACATCCTGTCTCATATACATTAAATATTTATCATTTATTGAGACTAACGATAAAGTTCTCTTTGAACGTTTCACCTATATATATATATATATACATATATATATATATATATATATATATATATATATAAATTGAAAAGCAAAATAAATTCAATGATTTTTGTTCATACTTTTGATATACAGAATATTCTATTCTTATGGTATTTTACTCCTACAAATCAGAGATTAAATAAGGAATTTTATCAATCAAGATTAAATTAAGGAAGTCATAATTATACAATATCTTATACAACTATACAAACTTATGATTTAACTAATTATATATCTTCATATTTAATATAAAATTATTGAACAGTATAATACTTAGTAAAAGTTAATTACTCCGATATTATTATAACTTTCCTCGTATATATATATAAGTATAATAACTATGTTCGTGTAAAAGGAGATTATACACAAATAGTTGATATTACTTTCCTTGAATCTATTTTTATTTATGATCAAAACTAAATTATCTTATTTTGCAATTATTATATAGTTAGGAATACAATAATTCTTAAAAAGAAATTCTTCTTGCACTATCGTCTTTCTTTCTCTTGATGATTTACATATATAATATATATGTGGAGCATTTTGGTAAGCCAAGAGGCATTATCATTACAAAAACTCGTGACCTACTCATTCATCCACTATTGGAACTACCTAATAAGAAGCTCCAACTCTATGCAGCTTTACTTTCGATAGTGCTAAGATTGCACTTTTCCTGAGTTTTCAATCAAAATATTCGTAGTATACAACGTATTTGCTACCATTGTCCACATGCTATTCACTAACTATTACTAATGCAAGACAATGGAATCAACATGCATTCATATAGTTAGGTGGCCGGTAGGGTGTTCAAGTTCCTTAATTTCATGTTAAAATTTGAAATTTATGTTTATATATAAAAAAAAATACCATACACGACTACCTCTAGTAGAAGAAGATACTTGTGATTTAGATAAATATATATATATATATATATATATATATATATATATATATATATATATATATATATTATAGATCATGTTTATATGTCATATCAAAGATATATTGTCTTTTCTGTTTATTTTTTTCATCCTTCATCTAAACCAAAGAAAATTCCTTTCTCTCACAAATTACGTATTAAGATTGGTTCGCAATAACATGTCATTAAAAAAATTATTTATATATAATTATCAATCACATCTATTTATATTTTAAAAAAAATTAGTCATTTATCATTAATCTATAATATATATTAAAAAGTTTGTCTTGAAAAATCATTATGAAACATTTGTATGCATAAGACAATGGATAAAAGAAGTCCTACATTGAATTGAAGGTTTGATAGATTATCCTAATGCTAGCTAGTCAAGCCACATTCACAAAGGTATCTCCCACGTTTTTCAACAGTTATTATCAAAAGCACCATGATTTGTAGACATACATATCTATATAGGCGTTGTTGATCTCCACTTTCTTGTTAATGAGTAGTGATGAAAGGCTTTTGATTTTACATGTTCACCATTAATAGTAGAAGCTTTGCTGGACTTGGTTTTATGGACCTTTCAAGTTACATCAAATTAAAACTACTCACATTATGTGGTTGGTTTTGTCGGTCTATGATAAATCTGAGATGTTATTCATCATAACAAAAGAAAAAGTTATTACCCACAATAATTCTTCTATTTGCCACAGCACTTATATTTTCCATCAACACTTGGTAATTGTTGTTGGCAATAATGGGGGATTGGAGAAAAAGGAGGCAATAGAGAAAGAAACGAAGAATATGATTGGGCATTATTTGTTTTGTCAACATTAAGTTGGAAACTATGGCAAATAGTCAATTATGGCTTTTATCTTTCTCATCTTTTGTCTTAATCTGAATTTGATGCCAAACTGCATTTTGAAATGAGTTATCAATGTTGCAGTAGTTTTTTTTTTTTAATATTATTAACCAATTGTAAATTATTCTGCTTATAATTTTTTAAAATGATTATTGGAAAAGTCAATAATCTTATTAAAAGTTTCATAAATAGAATTTAATGTAGCTTTTTAATATATAAATTTTAGACAAAAGAATCTCAAATATATTATTATTTACTTTTTAAGGTAAAAATTAAGCCATATTGGTTTAATTTTTCAAAAATGATCAAGGATAAAATTAAACTAAAAACATATTAATTTATGAAAATAGTCAAATTATGTTATATGAAAATAAAAAAGAAGACATATAATAATATATTATAAGTTTTAAGACTTTAATTTTCTATTAGTAGAAGAATTACGATGATAATAATATTATGGTTAAATACTTCTTTTCGTCCTTGATAACAATTTTTTGTTTCAATTTAGTCTCACTTTAATTTTAGGTCTCAATTTGGTCCCCAATAATTTAAATCATTGCAATTTGGGACTTCCGTCTAAATGATTTAAACGGAGTTAACTAGTGGCCACGTGGATGCTAGGTGGATGCCACGTAGGTGGATCCCAAAATAGTTGAATCCACCTGGAGCCAGAACGGGCCGTTCTGAAACCAGAACGGCCCGCTCTGGGGTTGAGATTAACAAAAAAATGCATTGCTAGAATGACTCGTTCCAAACTAGGTTTTTTAAGCTATTTAG